CATGCTCTTCTTGTTCAGTGATATCTGCCATACTGAGAAATTATTGTTTAAATTAAAAACTGCACTTTGGGTGCTTGGGTGGCTCAGTCGGTTAAGCATCTGCCTTCGGCTCAGGTCATGGTCCGAGGGTCCGGGATCGAGTTCTGCATCGGGCTCCTTGCTCAGGAGAAGCCTGCTTCTCCCTCTTCCTCTGCTGCTCCCTCTGCTTGTGCTCTCTCTCTGTCAAATAAATAAATAAAATCTTTAAAAAAAATAAATAGAAACTGCACCTTACACAACAAAATTGTACATCTAACAACTTAGATTAGTTTTATTTTCTTAATTTCTTACAGATTTTCATTTTTGAGTATTTGTTAGTTTTTTTCCCCTAAATGTTAGGCATTATAAAATACAGTGTTTACTAACATTATTAGGTGTTGGATCAATGAGTAGAAGATGCATAAAATTACTTAGTTTAATTGCAGAAGGAAATGTTGGTGAATATTGCAATAAAGGTAGGTAGCAAATAACAATAATGAGTTGTAAATATTTCAGGTAGGTTGCAACTAATATTGAGTTGTGAGTATTTCAGTGTATTTCTATTTGTAGACTCTGACTAGTGAGGCTTATTTTATTTTTAAAGATTTTATTTATTTATTTGACAGAGAGCTACACAGCGAGAGAGGGAAACATAAGCAGGGGGAGTGGGAGAGGGAGAAGCAGGCTCCGCGCGGAGCAGGGAGCCCGATGTGGGGCTTGATCCCAGGACCCCAGGATCATGACCTGAGCTGAAGGCAGACGCTTAAGGACTGAGCCACCCAGACGCCCCTGAGACTTATTTTAAAATTATTCTTCCTAATTTCAGCAACTGAGTAGGCTTTAATTTCTTCGTGGCTTAAAAACTGCTTTCTCATTTTTATTATTTGGTAAAAATTCCAGCTCTGACACATTGAAAAAATTTTTCTGTAATCTGCCCTCTAAAACTTGGACTGTCCTTCCTGTGAGTTACTGTGATGCACATCGATATGCTAGTTCTCTGGGGCTGGTGGTGGTGTGTTTCTTAGGAGACTTATATTTCACTTCTTACCAAAAGTCACTTTGTCCCTTAGGAAAGTGGAGCCACTGAGGGCATTTTCATAGGAACAGTGGGGTGGATGGGTGGGTCAGGGGCGGGGGAGGGATGTCAGATACCGGGATTATTCCTGTTCTTAATGGTCTCTACGCTTTCAGGGGATCTGCAGCACATTTGCAGTGCAGAAGCATGGGGAGATGCGAATCTTTTAAGAAGACAGTAGGCTGCGCTGCTCTTGGTAACCATGGGTACCTGTTGGGTATCATAAGTGTCTAAATTTGGTTGTTTTTGGAAGAAGGCTCTCTAAAGTTTGGGAGTTATGTAACTGTGGCTAGTTAAAGCTTTAGGAGACAGGATCTTGGTATATTAAAGATACTTTATTTAATATTAGAGTGTTACTTTGATTATAGAGGCCTTTGTGAAAAGCTGCTGATCCTACAGTGTTGTAAGGAAAAACACACTGTGCAATGTTGGATTTAGTGTCGCTTTCCCTCGATGGTGGCAGGTGACTTAGCCTTTGAATGGGGAGTGTCCCCTGAGCGATCATGCCTGAAGTGTCACCAGCTGTGGCTCCTGGTTATTTTCTCCCACCCTCTCTGAGATTCTCCCTCTCTGTATCAGTATTTAACAGTATATTTTACGAAAAAATGGCCCATAGTTTTATGTTCCTGCTTAGCTCTACAACGTAGTAAGGCTTACATTTACTTTTTGGGTTACAGGTTTTGTTTTAAATGTTTGGTGTTCATGCCCTTTACTCTTTGCATTCAAGTCACCTGTCTTCCTTTCTGGTCCTGTTTTCTGTCTGCATCATCCAGTGGCAATTCTGGTGATGCTCCAGGCTTGTCAAACCTCAAGCGTTGTATTCATTTAATTTTGTGAAATAGCATGTGATTTGATTATGGCTTCCTACCGACAACTTGCTTCTGTGTTTGCATAAGGAAATAATTAGTAATAACACTTTTGTTTCTTGATAGTTCTTAGTAGCAAAGTGTTGCAAATAGTTTAGTTACATCTCGGAAGTCTGGGGATCTTGGTTTTTTTTTCCTCTACCAGGTTGTAGAGAAAAAAATTAATAAACTGCTGAGTTATGTGTGTTTTTAGCCCTTGGTATTTAATTTAGAGTTTACAGAGCGGAAGGCTTTGGAACTTCGTGGGTCGTTAGTTTCAGTGCAGCACACAGTGTGTTGGTGTGGAGGTTTTCCTTCTGGCTGTGCTCTGCAGCATTCACGTGATGCACAGCGTGGTTTTGCATTTATAGAGCCTTTTGCCGTAGACTTGGTAAAATCCACATTTCCTAAATTTTATATTTATTTTTCACACACTTAATCTTGCCTGTCTTTTATTTCATCTTAGATTTGTCTGACTTGTGTATGTCAAACTGTCATGGTAGGTGTTTCAGAACGAGAATTCGTATTTGAATACATCGCTGGAGGATTTTGCCATAGTCGCGGTGCTGAAGGCTTGCATCTCATCTGCTTCCCACGGGCCAGCCCTGCCCCTGACCCTCCCGTGACGTGGGAATGGTCTAGATCTGGTGGCCACTGTGGGAGCCGGTGGCTCATGTGACTGAGGAACTGGGCTTTTTATTTCACTTCATGTTAATTCGTATGAAAATAGTCATGTGCGGCCAGTGGATTCTTCGCTGGGCAGCGCAGGCATGTACCCTTGTGCCAGAAGGAGCGTTGGAGACGTTCGCGTGTGACTGAGGGCGGCCGCGCCCCGCGTTGCGCCCCGCACTCCAGAGCGCGACCTCCTGTCACCAGCGCTCTCACAGATGCGCACGCAGACCCTCGACCTGCTGGGCGCTCCTGTGGAGTCTGTTACCTGCGTTCGCCATGTTCTGACGGGCCCGGCCTGACGTGGGGCGGCGTGAACGCTGGGCTCACGGGCAGCGCGCGGTCAGGCTTTGCTCTCAGCTCTGCCACCGCCTCGATGCCTCATCTTAGGGAAGTCATTTACCTTTCTGGCCTCCCGTCTGTCCCGTGGAAGATGCGCGAGTCTCACATCGCTGTGCTGCTGCCGCAGGTGTCAGACTGATTAAACCCCGGGTAGGGAAGGGCCCCTCCCAGCTTGCATGGGGTGTCTGTCTTGTGTGACGGGACCGTGAGGTGTCCGTGCCTCCGGAGAACATGCCGTATGCAGCTAGATAAGAGGTTGGCGATGCAGAGCTACTGCCAGGAAGAACGAGGGAAGGAGCCCCTGGAGCTCTGGGCTGTGTGGGCTGGTGCCGCGGGGAGGGGTGGCTGTGGAGCCGTGAGGTTTGCGAGTGGCAAGGTGCGTTGTGCCGCAGGGGAAGAAGCCTTGTTAGAAGCCTGACCTTGGTGCGGCCACATGGTAAAAGCAACAGGAGGTGAGAAATAGTAATTTGAAGCAGGTTATATTTTATTTGAAGCCTTACTTAATTTTTGTTTCATTCAAGCATGAGCAAGATCACATATCCCTAATATTTTACTGAAATCTACTTAACACCCACCCCCCGCCAACAAAAGGCAGTAAAGGCGGGAATACGTACTGTGGCAATCTTAAATCACTTTAATAATATCCTGGTTTGTAACTGCTGGATTTAAAAGTATCCTTTATGTGGGGAGGATGCTATCTGTCCTTAAAAGTTGGAGTGGGAGGGGTCCTGGGGGGTGGTTTGGAACTGACCTGCTTGGCTGTGCCCCTGGCACTCAGGATTGCCATCACAAGAGAGCTCCTCCAGGTAGCAGTGCTCCCAGTCCTGCGGGCGGGTGGGCGGGCGCGAGGTGGATGCCCACAGCTGGAGGGCAGACTCCTGTCCTTCCGGACTGAAGATTTTCTGTGCACAGCTGAGAGATAGGTGGATACTCGGTGGAGGTACCCCAATCTCAGTGTACAGGATACCGCCGTGGGTGCCATGCAGAGTAGGCGATTTCCCAAGGTGGACGTCAGTGTGACTGGGGTCAAGGGCTGGTGCGCCCTCCCCACCTGCCATGGGAGACATGCAGTGATTTCAGGATGGAAGTCCTGATAGGCCAACTTCATTGTATCATCACACCTCCTGAGACTGACATTGTCACGCAAGAGTTCCTGTTAACTTTCCAGCTGAGTCTGTCGCAGAGTGAAGTTCAGAGCGTCTGCCTTTTGCTGCTGGCTTGCTGTTGTAGCCCGGACTACACCTGGAAGATGCAGTTGAACAGCCTCCCTTCATAAGCCGTTCTAGGTCTCCTTCTGCAGTTTGGAGATTGGAGCAAAGCCAAATTGTTAACGCTGAAGTTTAAATTCACGATTATTATTTTATGCTTAGTTCAGATGATGTTGATACCTTTTCACCATTTTCTTAAGTATTTTGAGAAAAGTTTATTCTCTCTATCCAAACATGATGGTTTGGATGTCCAGGAAGTGGAAGTGTGTGCGCTGCTGAAGTCCTGACGCTGTGGCGCATGGACGGACTGGAAGATAGCTTTAGCCCTAATTAGCATGAGCGTATCCTCTTAAACGTCAGTGTCCTTTCTCAATGTTGAGTTGAGCCGTAAGTCTTAATTTTATATTAATGCTACTAAAATAGTCCTCCATAAGAGAGGAAAAGAGTGATTACCTGAGAGAGTTGACGTCTGAGGACCTTTGTCATTGGATCACTGAGTGGTGTATTGAGAATTGCAAACGACACGGCTCTCCTTTTCTCCTCATAGAAGAGCATTGATTGCTTCAGAATCTTAATGGTTTTGTCAGTAAGAGGGTCTAAACAGGGAAGATCATTTCCCTGAGGTTCTAGGAGTCATTATGCACTCATACAAGTCTCTTTCAGTGTTTCATGTCAAAGTTATTTCAGTATAACCTATTTTAAGATAACCTTTACAGATGAGCATTATATATGCTATCGGTGTCTGGTAAATACAGAAACAATCAGTATTGGCTCTAAATATGTAGAATTAATTAAAAAAATTTTTAAAAAGCATATATAATGAGTGTCTTTTGTTTCATGCAGTTGCTGTGATTGGCTGATAAATATTTGTCAAAGAAAAAGGGAACTGAAAGCTCGCACAGTGTGGCTTGGATATCCTGAAAAGTGTGAAGAAAAGCATCCCAGAAATTCTATAAAAAATCAAAAATACAATGTATTTACCTTTATACCTGGGGTAAGACTATTACATTCTTAAGAATGAGTTTCATATCAGAGATTGCTAGCTCCTTTTGTTTTCACTGTTTATTTTTTTATTTTTTTCCCCCTCTTAATTGTGTCACGTCCAAATCAGTGACCTTTTGCTTTTGAACCATTCATGTTTCAAATAGTTGTTAAACAATTCATGCACACTTTTAATGGGTACATCATGGAGTTCAATATGAGAAAATTTATAGTTTGACTTCAGTCCTAGATAAACATATTTATATTATTGTAGAAATAACCAAGTAAGCCTAAATTAAATTATCAAAAAATAAGTCGTAAGTTTTGTTTGGAGGTGAAGTGGAATGTTAAGTTTAAAGCCTGCCAAGGAACTTCATGATGAAAGTAAAATAGTTTTTTATACAAACATGACTCAGTAACAAAATATCTGTAAGCATTTATAGATAATATTTTCTGCTTCACATTATAAATTTCAGACCATGTTATATTGTTATATCATTAGTTATCTTTAATTAGGTATTATGTTAAGTGTAAATAACGAAGTTTATTTCATTACTTTTTTTGTTGCTAGTGACATTTTTGGCTTAAGTTACAAAACTGAGTATGTATTTAGGGTGATTGACTAATTTTTGTTTTTTTGTACATCATTTCCTATTTTTATAGACCAATTTATTCATCTGTCTAAAGGCAAAAGGAAGCTGGTACTGGTTATATTTCTATATCAAAGTTTCTGACACATGCTAGTTATTCGCTCTTATGCTGTTTACAAGAAAATCTCTTGGTAAAGTGAAATAAGGGCTGTTTTATTTTTCATGTTTTAATTTAAATAATCACGCTGATTTTATACTGGGCATTGATTGCCCCTCGCCACCCTCCCCCATCCATCTAATAGTTGGCGAATGCTTCATATCTAATTAACTCTTTAGTAAAACACACAAAACTACTGTCTCCATCATTAAAAGACAGCTCTTTTGTCAGGACAATAAAATGTAAGCTGTCTTTCAGGCAGATAAATATTCTCATCTTTATTGAATGAAGCTACTGTTTTCTTTAAATTTTAAATACTCGCAGATGGGCGAAGCATTGTACATTTTCCTGAAGGTCACAGAGTTCATTCAGTAGACAACAGTGTTGACTACAGTGGCCTCAAGCCCACAGTGCAGCCTCGCTTTGCCCAGAGCACACCCCTGCCGCCCAGCAGGGTGGGCCGTGTCCTGGGGGCACCTGTTGGTGTGGCTGCTCCACTGTGAGCGTGTGAATTCTCATTCTTAGAGTGTCTCTTAAATTAGGCTTTTCATCTAAAACGTAGTATTTTAGAAACATGTGGTAATTGCACAGTAGGAATTCTATGCCATTTTTAGCACAAATGGCAATTTTTGAATTGCTAATAGATATAATTTATGCTAACTGAGATTTTAAAGAAATCACTGAGGAAAAAGAGCTTTCTCTCCTGCTGAGATTAATTTATGAAATGACTCAAAACATCTTTAGACAGCAATTGAATATGATTATGAATATAAACGTGTTATCAATGTAGCTGATTTTTGAGTTGCACAAACAACTGTATGGTAATGTAGAAAACTTCATTATATAAAAACTGTGGTTCCAGACTCTTTAAGTCAACAATAAGTACTTAACCCATTGCTCTGCTCTTGTTAAAATTTCCATACCCTCCAAGTTGTATATAAAATGGCATCCAAGGAGATTTTGATTTGGAAGTTGCAAGGTTGTAAGTTTAATTGCAATTATAGCGTGCCATTTGAATTATTCTCATCTATAAACATGAGATTTGTTCCATTTTGATTTTCAATTTAAATTTAATAATTTGAGAATTTGTAAACAGAAGTCTCTTAATATACCGGATCTTGGGTTTTCTTCCTTAAAGATAACTCTATTTGAATTAAAAAACAAAAAGTTGCAGGATTTGCATTCCTAAAATTTTATTGAATGATACTTATTTTGTATTTGAAAATATTATTGCAGATCAACTGCCAAGAGATTATAAAGAATATATAGGTTGCTGTCTTCTTTAATTGATGTGCAATTCACATACTTTTTTATGTCATTATTTCTGATACTTCGAGAGAAGTAAATAGAAGAGATGAAGGCAGTTTTTGTGAAGTCATATTGTGTATGTTTTGCTTGTTCACTCAGTTATTTTAAAGCTACCCAGATGTTCATGTTCAGAAACATGGCTATTATATTTATTTTTTACCATTTCATAAATATAAGGTTAATAGAACTTTCCCATTGTAAGAGTTTCTGAGTTATCAAGATATGCATTTGTGTGTATATAAATAATATATTTATTGACTTAGTAACACTGGGAAGGTTTCGCTATCTGATTTGCTTTGATATACATACAGAGATTTACAGAGGAGTGTGCAAAACTGGAAATTGTATACAAGTAAATCAAAACTTTTAGAGGATGCTTTTAACATAATTGGAAGTTCTAATTGTTTTTTCAGTTTATTTTAAATATAATTTTAAATAAATATATATGTAATTTAGTTATTGGAAAGCCAGTGTCAAAATTACTTAATTTACTGTAACTCAGGGCATATTCTCACTGTTTGATGGAAATGTAGTTAGATATTGTGCTGATTTAATTATTTAATTGAAGTTTTAAAGGTTGTCCTTGGAGAGATTGTGTTAATTTTTTCTTTTCCTTTTTAGGTTTTATATGAACAATTCAAGTTTTTCTTGAATCTCTATTTTCTGGTAGTATCCTGCTCACAGTTTGTACCAGCATTGAAAATAGGCTATCTCTACACCTACTGGGCTCCTCTGGTAAAAGAAAAGATTTTTGAAATTAAGTTAAATTATTAATATTTAGTATTTGGTTTTCACAGTGGAGATGGTTGAAGGATGAAGTGATCAGGTTTTCAGAAGCATGATACTGCTGCTGTGTACCTTTGGACTTCGCAGCCTCGCAGGGGCGTCGGGCCGTGCGCTGCCTGTGCGTCTTGGCTCAGGGGCCACTGGGCGCCTTTGCTGGCGGGCGTGGGGGTGTTCTCCATGGGGCATCCTGTACGTGCCCTGCGATACAAGGTCTGTCTCACCAGCCTGGCTCCCCCCGTGCCGATGGCGCTGTTGGGAATGATGGGGTGGGGTCTCCTCAGTGACTCTCTTGGCATCCTGATAGATGGGCACTTCTTCCCTTTTGGCTGAAGTATCTCAGTCAGTGAAGTCCAGACGGTTTCTGGTTGGCAGCTCAGTGTGTGAAAGTTTTTGAAAGGCAGATGACACTTAGCATCAAATATTTCAACTTCAAACATAATGCTGTTTTAATGGTTTGATGCTGTTTGCCAGTAATTTTCATTAATTTTCAGCTTATACAGGCAAAATGTGTGCCTTCTTTCTTCCTCTCACCTGGAAAAATGTACTGCTTCCTTTTGGGCAGATTACCAGCATAATCCAGTCAAGAAAACATAGTGAAAGGGCAGGGCTGGCATCCCCCACCTAAGCACTCCCTTCAGAACTGGACATCTGATCAGCATGCTCCCGACTTAATCTCTTCTGGTTGGTGCCGCCCTGGCCCCCCAGAGAGGGTCTTCTCAGACGCACCGGGGAGGACTGGCAGAGGGGGCCGAAACCTCCCTGACAGGGTCCCTTCAAGCAGCCCCTCCTGCTCCCATCCACGCAGACTTTCGAGTAGCATGGATTTGAGCGGTGAAAGTAACTGCATTGTCCTACAAATACAAAGTCACCAAATGAATGAATACATGTCCACTCTTTAAATTAGCAAGGTTGGAAGACATTGGGGTTATTTAACGAGGGTGGTCAAGGAAGGCCCCTCTGAGGGGTGGCACTCAGATGCTATCCAGATGACAGAGTGGCTGGGCCGTGTGCAGAACACGGAAAAGAGGTGTGCAGGCCAAGGGAGCCGGGGTGCTGGGGTGCCGCTGGAGCGTGGGGACGCGGGGACTGTGATGGAAGGGAGGTCAGTGGGGGCTCCCATTTCCTCCTGAGTGGGAGAGGGAGCTGTCTGTCTCTCTGGGTGTCACACAGCACACAAAGGACACTGGAGCTCAGACCCCTGTTGTCACAGTTGGTTCAGGCCAGGTGGCTCTGGAGAGAGGACAGAGACTGTTTTCTTTTTTCCTCGCGCCTTTCTTCCCCCTGCAGGCAACTTCTCTTCTGCATTTGAGATTCAGTTGTTACATCTCTCTTAATAATTGCTTATGTTTGGATCACTAAAATAATAGTATTGTTTGCATGCTTTAAAAAATCTATATAAAGATTATCTTACTGTATGCTTCCTGTTGCATCATGCTTTTTTGGCTTAACATTGATTTATAAAATGGATCCATGATGACACATTCACTTTTCACTTCTCTGAAGTATTCCATTGGATGAATATGTCCATCTTCCCAGAAAAGGAGACTTTGAGGTTTCTTCTCATTTTTCACAGTTACAGACTTTGCTATTATGGTCATTGTGATTGTACATTGTTCCCTGGGCACATGAGCCAGAGACCCCTTAGGCTGTGTGCATCCTGGAAGTCTGATTGGCAGACTGCTCCTTACTTTTCCCAGTTTCCAATAAAAGCAGTATAGCATTACAGAAATTTTAGAGCATAGAGAAAATACGTGCTCATCCTAAAGATACGACTGTACGTACAATTCCAGTGTTTATTTCTGGCCACTTTTTCTACCCCCGGCTTCACGAGGTTGCCCTGAATCCCTTCAGTATCACTCCCATCTTGGGTTGAAATTCACTTTATCTGTGATATTCTCAGAACACAACATCTTCTTAAAAATATAACGTAGAATGTGTTCATTTCTGTTTTGCTTTTGCATCTTTTCCTATTAACTGTGATCTAAGTAGCTTTTAACCAAAGAGAATGTTAGTTTTAGATGGATTCCTGATGAGGAATTCATGCACAGAATTGACTGTCGGCCAGAGCTGGAGTGAGAGCGTGCGTGTGAGCGTCGGTGCCTGTCCTTCCTGGGCTTCCATGTGACGTTTACGTCCTCTGACTCGATTGTCAGCCGGAGGTGTTGGAAGTACTTAGTCCTTCTCTTGTCGGCGTGTGAGAATTAACGATGGCGTTTACAGAAGTGCCTCGGTCAGCCCCTGCTGCGGTGTTCAGGGAAGGGACGTTGTTACTCTGCTGCACTTGCGTGTCAGGGGCCACAAAGAAAGGTGAAAAGCCCATTTTTCCCATTTGAGTACGCTTCATGTTGCCTTGTGACATGCCTGGCCAGCTTCTCGTGTCCCTGCTCTCCTACCGCCCTGTCAGACCTCAGAAGTGGTCTGCTTTATGAAGCCGTGTCCTGTTGTTCTTTGGTTGGGTAGCAGCCACGATCGATGCCTTTCATCAGATAATCAGGACTGAAGATTTGTTAGTATCTGTGCTTGCACTGCTCTATACATCTTAACCTCTGATTTAGCAAAACTCTTAAAAAGGTGATGTGTCCATTAGATTCACCTTTGAATCCAAGAGGCAGGCTGAGGTATATTGGTTCCTTGATCCAAACTCACCTCAGAAAAAAATTTTTTTTTTTTTTAAAGATTTTATTTATTTATTTGAGAGAGAGAGAATGAGAGAGAGAAAGCACATGAGAGGGGGGAGGGTCAGAGGGAGAAGCAGACTCCCCGCAGAGCAGGGAGCCCGATGCGGGACTCGATCCCGGACTCCAGGATCATGACCTGAGCCGAAGGCAGTCGCTTAACCAACTGAGCCACCCAGGCGCCCAGAAAAAAATTTTTTAAACTGAAAATTCAGATATTATATACAGAAGATCTTTTTTATTAATCTAGGCAAACTTAACCTTTAAACTAAATCTACATCTAAAATGTGTAAATGTACACACACACACACACATATATATACTATATATATATATATTTTTTTTTTTTTTTAAATAAAGGAGGTGTGCTTCAGCGGGATTCTTTCCTAGCTCCTGATTCCTTGCTCTTTCTTGACCACTGTGTTTGGCCCTGGCCTTTGTCGAGGGCCTGCACTAGCATGTGGTCCTTACACACACACTCAGTGTTTGACGTCTTTTCTCTGCCTGCTTTCTCAGGTTCTGTAAGTACCTGTAAGGTTGCTCAGAGAAAGGAATTAGTTAGCATTTCCCAATTCCTCTTTGCCAGAAACCTGCCAGTGAAGCATAAAACCATCACATAGCTGGTAGTTATAAAATCTTACGTCTGACGTCCACTAATTTTAAACAAGGCACTTCACATTTGTTCTGCTCTCCACCTCAAGGGTATTTCTGAAGACAGTGATGGTTTAATAATCTTTCTATATCAAGCACTCTGGCAATGTTATTTACCAGCTTCAGCTCTGATCTAATTTCTGTTATATTTTGCCTTAGAACAGGAGAGCAAACTGAAAATAAGTGATTTTACTGCGTTCTTGTGTCAGAATGAAGGTTACCTTTTGCATCATTCAGTTTCCACAGCAGCTCTTTGACGGAAAGCTAGTGTAATCAGAGTAACAAAACAGATTGTAATGCTTCTATCAGAGTTAATCAGGTAGAATAGATCTAGCCATGCAGGCGGTTCTTAGATAAAGGAGGTCTGGATTGTTAACACTGCGTCTTCCACGTAAGCTGGGTTCCTGGTATTTTGTTAATGGAAGGTCAGATAGGCTGCGTAGGTGAGCGGCCAGTCTGCGAGGACTCTGATTTTCGGTCCTTCTGTCCACTCTTTCTTCTGAGAGTCTCTGCATGTTGGAGGTGTGGGTGGAGTACGGAAAGGAGGAACCAGGTCAGTTACTTGGGCTTATACCTCCTGCTGTCCAGAGACAAGCATGCTCAACATAAGCTGCACATTTAGTGTGACCTTTGCCGAAGTACGTGTGCTGCTTGTGTCTCAGTCTCCCTGTCTGAAGTAGAGCTGAGGGTACACACCTTGTCAGGTTTCTGTGGCATTTGAAAGGTAACTTACTCAGAATACATAGAGAAGTCTCTGGCATGGTTAAACTGATACTATAATATATAGTAGAATTTTTTCTCGTTTTATAAAATACCTCTTGTTTTGGCACTTACTCCACATGGCCCCTGGGCCATCTGGAGAAGAAGGAAGAAGGAATTCTACTTTGTGGTACAAGATTTAGTCCCGGCCCACGGACCGGCTGTGTGACACATTCCTGTCAGGCATTGTGACTGACAGACCTGATGCACAAATACTGTGGTTTCGCTGTGAAATACTGTCACCCTCTTGGGTTTGCTTTTGGCTCTTCTAGGTGGCATTACTGTAGCTTCCATCTTTGACCTGCTTGGTGCTGAGGCCATGGGAAGGTCCAGGCACTCCTGTGGGGCGCCTGTCCACACCTTCCATAGGCCACCGGTCTGTTCTGATCCAGTTACGACCCAGTAGATCTAAACTCTAAAGGCGGAGGCCCACGTGTGGTAGACTCCAGTTGTTAAGAAGGGAACGGTGGCATGGCATCTCTTGCGCCTTTCTGGTCATCTGCTTTGTGTTGCAAGGCTGGCTCTTGGGGCTTTTCTCAGGGTACATATGCCGGCGACGGACTTGGTGGTATGGGGGTGACACCTCTTGGTTGTTGCTGGTTCTGCACATCTGTCCTGTATTCAGGTGAACCTTAGATTTGGGGTGCGGCCCAGAGCGGCTTGTAGGTACTAGCAGTCTTTGCCTGTGACCGGGGCTCTGTCCCCTTGAAGAGTGCTTAACTCCTGTTCCAGAAGTTGGGACCTGCCCCTATTTGGTAATCTTCTCTAATATTACTGCTATAGAAATGAGAGCTTATTTCCACTTCCTGAGTTCTTGAAAGCACTAGGAACTATTACATTTTGTGGCTTATAATTGATGAATGGAGAAGTAACTTTTGCTGTCTTTAAGCCATACGTGTCCTGGGTGAAAGTTAGATTGACCTGGAGCGTCTAGATGACATACATATGTGTGGGCCTGTTCCTTGGACAGGAGAGGTGAAAGTACACATTCCAGGCAGGGCTCGAGCAAATCTGTAGCGCAGAAGACCTTCCAGGTGATGGTGCTACGTTAGCCTGATTCGGAGCCACTCCTTTAACAATACTATCTTCAGTCTCTAAGGAACAGAGGCTCGGCAGCCATTCTCCCCTCTCTCTCTCAGGGCGAGGCGGTCACAAGTAGAATTGTAAGAAATTACGTATACACTGTGAACATGGGTCTGCAACAGTAAATATTCTCCTGCATGAGAATGGCTGCATAGAACTGTATTTCCTCCTTCGGTGGATGCGTATGTTTCATGTTACTAAAACTAAGTTGAGACTCAGAGCTTTTGTTTTTAAAGTGGTATCGTCTTCCCACCTGAGACTAACCGCATCTTTGAATTAAGGAAATACAGTATTTCAACATATGAGTGTACCATGAATTTCCTATTTATAGACATGCAGGTTATTTCCAGTTTTTTATATTTGATGCTGCTGGGATCCTTGTTTTTTGGTTTTGTTTTGTTTTGTTTTTTAGGGTAAGTTTCCAGAAGTGAAACTGTTTGGTTAAAGTGTGTGCAAATTTTAAGGCTTTTGATAACACTAAATTTGTTAAAAGAATATTTTGGTATCTCCTGCTTTGGATTTTCATAGTTTTTTCTTTGTCTTCCTGTACTAAAAGACATCTAGATAGAAAGGAAAGAAGGAAATATGGCTCTTTGCACAGTGGCATGATCTTGTACATTGGGAAGTCTGAGGTGTCCACACACACAGAAATGTTAGAACTAATAAATGAGGTAGTAAGGTTGTAGCGGACAAGATAGATACACAAAAACCACTTGTATTTCTGTATACCAGCAATGAGCATCTGAAAATGAAATTAGGGTAACAGTTCCATTTATAGTGGCATCAGAAAGAAAAAAATAGGAATAGATTTAGCTAAAATACAGGGTTGCCTGCTGGAAACTAATAAAACATTTTTTTTTTTAAAAAAATCAAAGATCTAAATAAATAAAAGTCATCCCGTGTTCAGGAATTGAAAGACAGTATTGTTACAGTGACAGCACTCTCCAAATTGATCTGCACATTCAGTACAATCTCTGTCAAAATCCCACTTGGCTTTTTGGCAGAAACTCACGAGCTGATTCTAAAATTCATGTGGAAATGCAGGAGACCCAGAGTAGCCAGTGCAACCTAGAAACGAAGATCAGCATTGGAGGACTCCTGCTTCCCCATTTCAGAGCTCATTTCAAAGCCACAGTAATCAAGAAGGTGCGGGACTGGCAGAAGGATAGATGAATAGACCAAGGAATACAACGTAGAGTTCAGGAATAAACCTTTACACTCATGACAGATTGGTTTTCGGCAAGGATGCTAAGACCGTTCGGTGGACCGTTCAGTGCACTCAACGAATGGTGCTGGGGCACCTGGACAGCTGGATGTGAAAGAATGAAGTTGGGCCCGTCCCTCAGGTCATACCCAGAAAACCACTCGTAAGGGATCATAGACCTCAATGGAAGAGCTAAAACTGTAAGACTCCTGGAGGAAAACATAGAGGCAAATTTTTGTGATCTCGGATGGTAAAAGCCCAAGTGACTAAAGAAAAACTTAAATAAATTGTATTTATCAAAATTAAAAACTTTTGGACATCAGAGGATACCATCAGGAAAATAAAATGATAACCTAGAGTGGGGGAAAATATTTGTAATCTCACATATGCTAATCACATGTCTAACGAGGTATTTGTTTCCAGAATAATACGAAGAGCTCTTACAGCTTCACAGTGAAAAGACAAATGACACCGTTAACAAGTGGGTGTAGGATCTGAACACACATTTATCCCAGGAAGATATGAATGGCCAATAAGCTCCTGTTAGGGGGTATAACCACTTTGGGAGGCAGCTTGGCCGTTCATCAAAATGCTAAACAGGCCACCTCACCCAGAAGAGGCAAATTCATAGAGACAGAAAGTTGGACTACTGGTTGCCAGGGGTTGGGGGCTGGAGGGGGATGAGGGTGACCACTGTCCAGTGTGGGGTGTCTCTCTCTTTGGGGTGATGAGAATAGTCTACGGTCAGATGGTGGTGATGGTACGACTCTGAGCGTAGCAGGGAGGATCAGCTTTGAGTAAACGCAAGGGCTCACCTAATGTGGCCTGCTGGTGACACAGACACAGCCCTGGAGTGACAGACTGTTGTCCTTTGAGGGCAGTTGTCCAGTGTTGGGTCACTCACAGAGTAGCCTGGGGAATGCGCATCAGTGTAACATGCAGCCTTCTGAAGAGTCTGGCCGTAGAGAGGTAGACTGGAAGAGTATTCACACTCGGAAAACACGAGTGTAGCCCTGAGATGTCAGCCACGTGTCAGGGGAATAACGGACTTCAAGACAGAGCACAAGCACATCAGCGTTGATTTGTGTGGCCTCAAGCTGACCTGTTGAGGTTTTGCTCACAAAGCGGGACAAGCCTGCGCAGGAGGAGGCTGTCGTGTTGGGATTGCGCCGTGTTCCTTCCTGCTTCCTTCCACCAGCAGGATTCAAGTGCAGAAAGCATAACATTTTATCTCAGCCTTTGGTAATTTGATATTTAAAGGCTCGAGCGTTCTAAATATAATTCCTGGGTTGGTTTTTTGTTTGTTTGTTTTTTTCAGATTGTTGATTTCTTTTTTCTTTGGGTTACTAAGTATTTTCTGATGTTTAGCTTGAAGTACATGTTATGATATGAATTTTAAAAAATTATTTGGGAATAGGGAGAATTGTAAATCTTTTAGTATGTATTATATTCCTCTTGTAGTGTTGCATTATTTTTGTCTTTTGTTTTCATTTATGTTTTAGAAGTAATATAAATTGAGGGGGGAAAAGTAAAACTGCTTGGTTAAAGAATAGTCCCTTAACTTTTTTGTTAAAGCTAGTTTTCTCAAATACTGTATTTTATTTTGTTTTATAGGGATTTGTTTTGGCTGTTACTATCATGAGGGAAGCAATTGATGAATTTCGGCGTTTTCAGCGAGACAAGGAAGTGAATTCACAGCTCTACAGCAAGCTTACAGTAAGAGGTTAGCAAGACCCTTTTGATCTAGCTTATCATTTGCTAACTGTAATCATCATTTTAGAGTTAACATAAGTGAAAGAAAACATGCCTTAATTCTGTTAGAAAATAGTATGTGATTACATATGGTATCTAATTTTTTTTAATAATCTAATGTCTACAATTTCAAGAGAACACATGTGAAACCTAACTGGTGTATGCACATTTTCTGTGAATATCACCTTCCTAAAATCTGTTTGTGTTACATTTAAACACAATCATAAAGGTCGGACAGACATCTGGTACCATGGCCTTAAGTGAAGGGAACTTGGAGCACCTACAGTAAATGTCATGATCCAAAGTGATAGCTGCTTTATGTCCATTTCTCCTTCACTTCATTCAGGGCTTTAAGCCTTCCCTAATTTTATGTTTTTAAAGAGCTTGTTTCTTTGGTCTCTCAGTCCCAGTGGAAAAGAAGCGATGTGTAGAGGAGTGTGGGAGAAGCCATTATAGGTGGGCATTATGCCTGTCAAAAAGTGACACCATGACAGTCATTACCTCAGCAAGGGACTGTGAAGGGGGATACTGAAGAGCTAGACAAGTATTCATAATAACTTGGAAGCTGCTTATAAAATGAGGTTTAGAGTGGAGTTTGTATCTTCTGTTTACATGTTGGACATTTGTACACTGAATTTATTTATTTGAAATAATTCTCCAAAAAATTTATCTGTAGCTTATTGGGATGTATTTCATATAACATAAAGTTTATCCATTTAAAGTATACAGTTCAGTGGTTTTTGGTATGTTCACAGAGTTATGAAACTATCAGCACCATCTAATTTTGGAACTTTTTTTTTTTTTAAAGACTTTATTTATTTATTCGACAGAGGAGAGCACAAGTAGGCAGAGTGGCAGGGAGAGGGAGAAGCAGGCTCTCCACCGAGCAGGGAGCCGGATGTGGGACTCGATCCCAGGACCCCAGGATCATGACCTGAGCTGAAGGCAGCCGCCCACCCGACTGAGCCACCCAGGCGCCCCTAATTTTGGAACATTTTTAACATTCTAGAAAGAAACTGAATATATTAGCCGTCATCCCATTCTTGCCCCTTCTGACCCTCTTCCAGGCCCAGGCAGCCCTCAGTCTGCTTTCTGTCTCCGTGGATTTGCCTCTTAGGACAGGTCACAGAAGTGGAATTGTGCAGTATGTGGGCTTTTGTCACAGGCTTCTTTCACTTGGCATCCTGTGTTCAAGGTTCATCGGTGTTGTGGCACCTTTCAGGCTTTATTTCTGTTTGTTGCCAAATAATATTCCACTCTGTGGTATTCCGTGTTGTGTTCATCCATTCATCTGTAGATGGACGTTTGGTTTGTTTCCACTCTAGGCTTTTGTAAATAATGCTGCTGCGAATGTCTGTATGTGAGTGTTTTTGTGTGAACATTGTTTTATTTCTTTTGTAAATATACCTAGAAGTGAAATTGCTGGATTATATGGTGACTGTGTTTTTGATAAACTGCCAAGCTGTTTTCCTAATTGGCTACACCGTTTTGCATTCTCACTGGCAATGTGTGAAGGTTCCAGTTTCTCCACATCCTCATGGCACTGTTATTGTCTATCTTCTTTATTGTGGCCATCCTGTTGGGTGTGAAGTGGTATCTCACTGTGGCTTGATTTGTGTTTCCCCAATGACTAGTGATATTGAGCATCTTTTCATGTGCTTATTAGGTGTTTGTATGTCTTCTTTGGAGAGATGTTTATTCAGATTTTTTGCTTGCTTTTTTTTTTTTTTCCTTGTGTGTACCTCTTTTAAGATACCACCTTTTTTTTTTTTTTAATTTTATTTTACTGTGTTATGTTAGTCACCATACATTACATCATTAGTTTTTGATGTACTGTTCCATGATTCATTGTTTGTGTATAACACCCAGTGCTCCATTCAATACGTGCCCTCGTTAATACCCATCACTGGGCTAACCCATCCCCGGGCTTACTGTTTTAACTGGGTTATTTGTTTTTTTAATTATTGACTTGTAAGCATTCTTTATATAATCTGGATTTAGGTCTCTTGTCAGTATATGGTTTGGAAATATTTTGTCTCATTCTGTGGCATGTGTTTTCTTCTTCTCGGTGTCCTCTGACGCACAGAAGTTTTCATGTTGATGATGTCCGCCTCATCTGTGTTTTCTTTTGTTGCTTTTGCTTTTGGCATTGTAGCTGAGAAATGATTTACCAACCCAAGGTCACAAGGATTTACTTCTGTATTTTCTTCCAGGGATTTTATAGTTTTAGCTTTGACATTCAGATGTGTGATCCACTTTCATTTCATATTTTGTGTATGGTGTGTGATATGGGTCCACATTCCTTTGCATGTGAGTATCCAGTTGTCCCAGTACCATTTATTGAAAAGACTCTTCTTTTGAGGTTAAATTGAATGATTATTAAGAAGCTTTGATGCTTAAAGCTGTGGCATGGTAGAGGTTAGGTGTGTTGTAGAAAAGAGGTAAGCTTGCGTTTTGGAAAAGAGAGTCCCCAGAATGGCCAGGCAAATTAGGTGTAACCTTGGTGTGTCTTTTTTAGAATATAGTATAGATCCTGGCTTATTTTTTAAATTGTTTTTACCTGTGGTATTTGGACTGTGTAGAGATTTGTTTCTGTGTATTAACTGTATCATTCAGAACTAAGTGGTCTGGTGGTGTCTGAGAAACTGGCAGAGGAGACAGTCCTGCATGCCCTTTCTTCCACAGAAACACGGAAAAGCCAAGCGCCTGCCATGAGGAATGCAGCCCACATTCTTGACTGGGGACTCTGGACCCTGCTCTGAAGGGAGTAGAGCAGGACTTACTTGCAGAGAATTGTGTCTGTCTGTCCAACCTGTCAGGGACTGACAGGACGACTCATGAAGGACGGACTCAGGATGTCTTTCTTTCATGTACCTTGGATGTCACTCAGGGCAGAGGAGCCAAAAGCCAGTGGACATTTCTCAAGCCTCTGTCAGGCTAAGGAGGCAGCGGTAGTTGGGGGCCTCCAGTGGTAGTCGACACACCGAACAGAGGGTCACATGCCAGGCTGAGGAAGCTGGAGAGGGGATTTCTTTGGAAAATTAGGGCATGTAAAAGTGCCTGTGTTTACTGGGCAGTTTTGAAAGCCACATCCAAGGCCAGCCCTGGATCCCGCTCAAAAAAGACCCTGAGAAAGTGTTTTGCCTCTGGCCAGTCTCTAGGCTCAGGGCAAGCAGAGGTGAAGGCTCAGGCTGAGTTCCAGGCAGTCTGGCTCTGTGTTGGGGTCCCCAGCACAGAGGCAGTCTGCGACGATTGGGAGAGGTTGGTCTCACTTTCTCTCCTCTGTCCTTCTCCCTTTCTCCCTCCCTTGCTTCCTTCCTCCCTCCTCTCAGCTCTTTCCTTCTTCCCTCCCACCATCTTTCCCTTTCTTTCTTAGTCTCGCCCCCTCCCCATGCAAGGAAATCCTTTCCAAAACACTGGCTGAAAGACTTCTCAGTCCAGACATGACAAAGAATACACACTTCACAAAATGAGTCTAGAGAAGTCACCATGTGTGCATGGCTACAGCATATACTGAACAACAAAACAAACCAAGAAGAGGGGGAAGGGACTGATTTCCTGAGTTACAAGATTATAATAGAGTGTACAGGTTTCCACAAAAAAATTACAGAACATGCAGAGAAACCATGTGGCCCAGTCACAGAGGAAATGAACAGAAACCGTCCCTGCAGAAGCCCAGATCCTGGACTTAGGAGACAAAGTCTAGATCAGCTGCCTTAAATCTGTCCAAGGAGCTAAAGGAAACAACTGGAAAAATGCTGAAAGGATTAGGAAAAATGATGGGGTTTTTTGTTTTGTTTTGTTTTTTAAGATTATATTTCTTTATTAGAGAGAGAGACAGCGAGAGAGGGAACACAAGCAGGGGGAGTGGGAGAGGGAGAAGCAGGCCTCCCGCGGAGCAGGGAGCCCGATACAGGGCTCGATCCTGGGACCCTGGGATCATGACCTGAGCCGAAGGCAGACGCTTAACGACTGAGCCACCCAGGTGCCCCGAAAAATGATGTATTAACGTACAGAATACCAATAAAGGTATAGAAATTATAAAAGAAGCAAAAAGCAAAAATTCTGGTGCTGAAAAGTACAATAAATTAAAGGAAAAACTCACTGGGGAATGTCAGTAGCAGAGTTGAGCTGGCAGAAGAAGGAATCAGTGACCTTGAACCTAGGTAATTTCAATGACTAGATAATTTCAAGTGGAATTATCCATTCTGAGAAGCAGAAGGAAGAGTGAAGGAAACTAAGCAGGTCCTAAGGGACTTGTGGGTAGTGCTAAGTGTACTAATGTGCACACAGTGGGCATCTCGGAAGGAGAGGAAGGGAGAAAGGGTGGAGAGAATGTTGTAGGGAATAGTGGCCATTAACTTCCCAAATTTGATGAAAGACATGACTACATATTCAGGAAAATCGGTGAATCCCTAGAAAGATAAATGCAAGGAAATCTGCACTGAGACACATGACAATCAAACTGTTGAAACCCGAGGACCAAGAGAATATTCTGAAAGCAGCGAAGAGAGAAGCAGCAAGAGAGAAACACACAAGGAAGGGCTTTTGAGTCAGAAACCCTGGAGGTCAGAAGGACGTGGGGTGACATTATGAAGATGGGAGAAGAAAAAAATGGTCCACTAAGCATTGGATGTCCCTAAACCTATCATTCACAAATGAAGGAGGATTGAGACATTCCCAAATGCCTTTAGAATCGAAAACAGGGACTCAGGCAGATAGGTATACATGCATGTTCATGCAGCACTATTTATAATTGCCCACATGTCCAGCGGTGGGTGAAAGGACAAATTATGGTGTTTTCTCACGTTGGAATATTATCCAACCATAAAAATTAATGAATACTGATAAACACAGGTGAACCTTGAAAACATTACACTCTAAGAGAAATCAGACACAAAGGGTCATGGACTCTATGATGTCATTTACACGAAGTATCAGAATAGGTAGATGAATGGAGCTGGAAAGCAG